CCTCCCTCTCCACCGCCTGCGATCTCTCCCCATCTCCACGGACACCCCACATGGCCTCCACGCCCTTCCCCGTTGAGAACTTCTCGCGATCTCCTCTTGGGTCCTCTGGTACCCCTCCGTCTTTGTCTTTGCTCTCGGCTCTCACGGTCTCAACTTCCTCTCCTTCCAGCCGAGTCTTCCCACCTTCTGGTGCTCGGTCTATCCTCGCTCAGCGTTCTCCTCCCTGCTGCTGCTGATGATGATGATGATGCCACAGTCACACGTCGACTCACGCCCTCATTTCTTGCGAGGTCTCTTCCACTTACTCCACAACATAGCCATCTCTGGCATTCTTATTTATACAAAATGTAAACAAAGTCACGTTGTAGTCCATCAGCCCATTGGCTTGTCAGACCAACGTTACCAAGTGGTGTTTGTTTCAGGAAGAAAACTCTGGACCGGTTTCGGCCTTATGGGTCTCATCAGTGCTCCAGGCAGCACGATGTGATTCTAGCGATGACAACGAGAATGGCGAAACTGCTCGTGAGTTCTGCTTCTCTTGGATTTTGCCCACGACTCTGAACGGCATCTCGTGAAGAACAGCATCACCGTCGTGTTCTCTGTATTATTATACGACGTGCTGGGAAGTAAGACGCACCCCAAACGTATACCGGTGTCAATCAAGTTCTACAGATCTGATCTCGCACACATCTAACGGATTATAAGGCGCACCTCTGCATTTGCTCAAATACAGGAGGCATTGGCTCTCTTGTACTCCGAGAAGTACGATACATATCATCGTAATGCGGTTTTATGTTTGTGTAATTTTAATTTTTTAAATCATCATCATCGCCTGTGTCGTTATCGCTATTATCAGTGGTAGCAATAGCATCGCTAACAATGCCATCAGCAGCTGCAGAAGCATCAGGAAAAGCAGCAGCAGTATCCATCATCGGTAGCAGCAGCAGTAACAAGATCATTTAGCGTTTTCCAATCACCATTCATGAACTACAGCAACGCTATCATCATGGGCAGTAACAACAACATAATCATCATCATCCTAATCAGCAGCTGCATCGTGGCTATCACAATTATCATCATCAATAGCAACATTAGCAATAATCAGCTGCATCAATCAACATAATTTTCATCGGAATTATCATGAACATGATCTTCATCAGCATCATCATGAACATAATCTTCATCAGCATCATCATGAACATAATCTTCATCAAAAGCAGTATGTCGTCGTTGTCTCCATCGTTATCACCATCGTCAGCAGTAGCGAGTTAATTATCAACATTAACAATAATTCATTATTCGGAGTCGGAATAAGGCATTAAACAGTTATGATCAAGACATTAAAAATGCACGCTTATAATGTGTGCGTTACTTGTCAATTTCCGGGCAATCGATTATGACTTTAATAAAGCAATTACAGCACAAACGTCGATATGGTAGCTCTGAGAAAATTCTATTAGTCCTACGTTTACAAAAGGTAACTTATACTTTTACACATACGCGCGGATGTATATGTTTAGCTGATGAAAGTGCAACAATTGAAGCCGTAGATTGACGATGAATTGAGCTACAGCTATTTCACGTACACGATGGGATAGGAGTGGTAGGCGTGCATGAGTGTGTGCATTGCACAACGAACCTCCGGCCAACGTAAGTTCGATCCCCGGTCACGGCTAACACGTGGCGAGTGATGTCCGACCAGAGTGGTGAAGTATGCTCAGAAAAAAGGTCCAACGACCGACAACGGCCAGTGGAGGCCTTCATCCAGCAGTGGATTGACCAAGGGCTGTAACATATATCATTTATATATTTTTTTATTTTAACTTACGACGTCTAAAGTAACACTAAGAATACACTGAAATGGAGGAGACGGAGCGATGAAATCGGCTCGTATGCAGGTGCTAGGTGGATGATCACATTGTAGGATCGTGAGAGGTGGCGACGGTTTGGGAGGGGGGGGGGAACCTTCACCTAGCAGTGGATAGGTCATTGATAATTACAATAATGACGAGGATGTGCTTTACGAAATTAGATCCCTTCTCGCAAGGAACCATTGCGACCCATTAATTGCTTCGGGACAAGTATTAATATAGAACAATGATTGATGGTGGGGTTTTTTTTTCTTCTCGAGATTTCACGTGCAGTTAATTTCATAATTTGCTGTTGACACTTTGGGATCGCGTTGCGCTGCCTTTTGACATCCATTTCACGCGAACAATCGCCTAATTGCTTGCAGAAATTACTGAACTGCTATCATGGGGACTCCAACTGTCATTTCCTTGCTAACTGGCACTGTGGCAAACGTATTGGTCCCTATAAAGATATATATGTCGAGTTCAGAAGGTCACATCAAGTCGAGTGGTCAAGCCCGGCCACCACATCTCACAGTCGCCTGCTTCTTTCTGCGAGTTCCCAAAGTTGTTACAAAGTTGACACCCGATCTCAAAGTTCCACCCGTAGAGTTTCATCAACACCACCACCATCACCACCATCACCACCATCACCACCATCATGAATTCAGCATAGCCCCACAGTGTGAGTGCGGTCACCAGCGTCGCACCATAGACCACACCACAACGCCACTTGGCCTCGTCCGTCATTTGCCGGCAGCATTTCAGACAATCGCCACGCGGCTCCTCCCGAGCCCGTCGCTCGCCAACTCCCACATGGACGTGTCATCAACGTCGTTGATCAACTTCCCACCGTGTGAAAGAATAATTCTCACTATCCGCATTTAGGTATTTGGCTGTGAGTGTACAGTACTTGGTTATTATATTCTGTCTACTCGCTATACTCATCATATGACGTTATGTTTTCCTATCTGTTGCGCAGTTGATATGTCAATCAACAACCAGTCTAATCATCATCATCACCACCGTGAGCCACCATCACCTCCAATCCGGCGTGAGATCTTCTCATTGATCGTCTACCCCCTGGGAACCACTCTGTTACCTGCCTTCCATCCTCATCACCGGTCATCTTAACTACCTCGCCTGGTATACAGGAGGTCGTGTGTTCGAATCCGACCCTGACGCCTGCTGTATATTCTGAGTTTGTATGGTCTTCCTCCCCGTGGTCGAAGTGGATTTTTCTCCGGGTCCTCCTGGTTTTTCCCATCCACATTTAGAATCGACATCACGCGTTCAGACTATTTGGCCGCGATAAATTTCCACGTGACGATACGCCACTAAGTTTGAGCCATCATTTTCGGGCGGGTCGCTGCCGGAAAAGAGCTACATAGCTCAGCGGGCCCTGGTTAAAATACAAAACTAGTTTGAGTTTACCCCGCACACGATGTAGCACCCATCACAACCTCCTCATCCTGCCTACGCCTCCCAAGCGCCGCTCCGGGCGGGCTACGCCACCAAGCGCAACGCGAGTGCCGCCACCACCACTGCAGCGAGGATGAGACCAGGGCATGGCCGTCTACTGCCATAGATGGGGGGCGGGGGGAGGGGTTCGTTGTCTAGTGGAGGGGGGCGGGAGGTGGTGGGGTCCATCGGGAAAGAGATGGAGCAAAGAGAGGGAGAGTGGGGGGCAGGGCTGATGGGGGGGGGGGGGTAACGGGCGGGGTGGGGGGGAGCAGGGCGTCGGCTGGGAATGCATTAATAGCGTTTCAATTTCCTACTAAAGGGATTTGAATCTCCGCTGGGGATAAGAGGCAATAGTGGCAGATGGACACGCACTCTCTCCGCGCTCCCATCTCCCTCTGCACGTGCAGTTTGATGACATGCTCGCGTTGCGTATGCGTCTGCCTGCCGCCAGTAGCAATATGTGCTCGTCAGTAGTGCTTGGACGCATTGTAGGATGGGAAACAGGAGCATTTAAAAGTGTGTTGTTATTGTTGTAAACGGAGAGAGAGGAAGACCTAACGACGACCTAAGAGATTGGTGCCAGAGTGATGTGACACGACTTGAGAATATTGGCACAAGACATGGATCATGATGATGATGATGAACAGTGTTTGCCCCCCCCCCCCCCCACGATTAGAGCTAACCACGCCCGGCCTGCCTTTGTCTCATCGTAACAAATACTCATTTTTGTCCGAGTCAGCCTACGGTAGAAGTACACCCGATTTTCGTTTCAGTTTGCCACTCCAGAATTGCTGTACATAGAAGTCAAACCGTCCAGCAAACTATTAACCACCGTCACACTGTTAATCACCAACAGCCCTTTCATCACCAACAGCTCTTTGTAAATCCACTGCTGGATGAGTGCCTCGTTACTTCGTGCGAAGAAAGGGGATTGTTTGACTATACTTCACCACGCTGGTCGAGTGAGGGTTGGTGTTCACGGAATACAATACGTTTGAGCGTAGAAGAACCGTACAATAAATAAATAAAAATCCTCGACTGCCTTGTGCTGTTCTATTTGTATAACACCTGTTATGCACGGGTCGCCCATCTAGGTACTAACCAGGCTCAACCCCGCTTGGCTTCCAAGATGTGACGAGTTTGGGCGCACGCATGTGGTATTGATGTTGTTAATGTGTCCAGAAAATCCTCGCCGGGTCTCGAAGACATTTGTTGCAGGAGGACGCTGCGATATTTGGATGTTTGGCCAATATATATTTTTTTATAATAATAATAACAAATTTGAGTACCTGACGAAACCCGTCTCACACACGAGGGGATAACGCAACAACTGGGCTCACAGATGAGTGCACGATCCCACTTGCTGTACTGCCAAGTCTCGGGTCCACCACGTGCGTAGCACGGCGCGAGTTTGGAAGCTGGCGACGGTCTGGTGTCAGGAAGCTCCAAAATTCGAAGGACACTGCTGATGAGATCCAAAATGTCGAAAGCGGTGCAGAGTTTGCTACGGTTAAACTAATACCGCACGGTATCATCGGTCTGCGATGCCACGCGGCTAATGGACGAGGCCATGTCCATATTTGTACGTGAAGACACGGAACGAAGCTGGGCTAATATTTGTGTTTTCCCGGTCGCTTGATCTTGGGGGGTGGGGCGCACCCCTTCTCGCTGTGGAACATCTTCCAGTGGGAGCCGGGGAACTTCCGTCATCGGCCGACTTCGAAGAGGGCTTCTTCCGACGCAAGCAGAGACGCAACCGCACCACGTTCACCCTGCAGCAGGTGGGCGCCTCCTGGAGACTCCGCAGCATTTCACTCAAATCGCATCCAACTTTGTGGTGTCGCGTTGGCAGCGCTGCACAGATATAGGACAAGCGCAAAAAACAACAACAATTCAGAGTTCTTACGTACCTCTCTGCCTGACATGAATATAATTGGTAACGTTTCGGGCAATGGCCCTTCTTCATAGCACATGATTAGATGTCGATTTAAAGCTTTCGTGACTGCAGGGATTCATCTTCTTGGTTTTTTCGGTAAAGTCACGTAGAAGGGAAATAATAAAAATAAAACATAATAAAATACAATTCTCACTACGTTTCGGCCACAACGCAAGCAGCCGTCCTCAGGTGAAGAACAGGGCTGTCGGAAAGACATTCAGACGCTGTCTTATATTTTTACCAGGTAAAGCCAAACTGAGCTATTTTTTCAGAAGGGACCTGGTTACAAATGGATGGCTTAACAAAGTGGTTTATTACGCGGACATTTAAAAGAACTAAACCATCATCAGCCACTAGCAGCATAGGCATCATCTTGCAGTATTATGAACAATAGTATCGTTAGCAACAAGAGTATCATCATCAATCTGTGTTATCATCAGTGGCAATATTGTCATCAGATGCCCGGCCGATTTTACCTCCTCGGGAAGGCCCAGGACCGGTTCGGATAATCGTCACCAGTGCTGGCCGTGAGCGGGAATCAAACTACACCACCGCTCCCCGTAGTACGCACATGCACGCACACGCACGCACACAGACACAACTCCCCGTAGTACGCGCATGCACGCACACGCACGCACACAGACACAACTTGACACGCGCGTGACGTTCTTCCCACATATTGACAGCTGGAGGAGCTGGAGTCGGTCTTTGCTCAGACGCACTACCCAGACGTGTTCACGCGGGAGGAACTTGCCATGAAAATCAACCTCACCGAGGCACGAGTCCAGGTAACCACACCTTTACTCTGTCAAGACAAATACACCCCCCTCACCCACTCCGTATAGCCTGTAACAAACTGTTGGGACTCAAGTGCTGAAGGTTGGCACTGCACACGAGGGGGTGGGTGGCCGGGCACCACGCCCGGCCACCTGCCTTTTCGCCTGGTACTCATTTGAGGACGAGTCGACCTAAGGAAGGCCCAGGACCGGTTCAAATAATCCTCATTGGTGTTAGCGGTGAGCGGGAATCGAACTCGGGTCGCCAGGTTCGTAGCGCAGCGCGCTAATCACTGCGCCACCGCTCCTCACTTGCATACATGCTCTGACCTGCCATACACGTGTGCATGTGGATTCGTATCTCGCTCGATATGCCGGCCACGGCACTGAGATGTATTTTGAGAGCTATTACCAACTAGCACTGGCGTTTGCTTATTCAGTCAGGAAAAGCGTTTTGGTGATTCGAGTATATAACAGTTTGTGGAAATTGATTGGACGAATACACAAAAAATTGAGATCCTTGGCAGACATAAAAGTGACGCATTCTTTGCATTGAAGACCGGGATAAATACGCACACAGCCTGCTGATATTCTACTTGGAATTAATGCGTTTTAGGAAAGAGCAGTGCATATAAAAAAATAAGAATGATAAATATATTTCTAAAATGTTCTATAAGTGGAGTCATTTAGCCCGCATAGCTAATGGCACACGCTACCGACAATTTATGAGAGAAAAATGGATCCCACCCTTTTATTCCTGCTGGCGTCCCCGACTCCCGCTGTCCATCGCCAGCGATCTCTTGAGTCGACAACATTATTATTATTACTTGGTGATTTTGCTGCTGCGTTTGGCAGTGTTGCGAAAGCACAAACAACGATCAACTCATCTTCTTGGTTCTTTCGGTAAAGTCACGTAGAAGGGAAATAATAAAATAATACACATTTTACATAATAAAATACAATTCTCACGACGTTTCGTGAGCAGCCGTCCTCAGGTGAAGAACAGGTCTGTCTTTCCGACAGACCTGTTCTTCACCTGAGGACGGCTGCTTGCGTTGTGGCCGAAACGTCGTGAGAATTGTATTTTATTATGTTTTATTTTTATTATTTCCCTTCTACGTGACTTTATCGAAAGAACCAAGAAGATGAATCTCTGCAGTCACGAAAGCTTTAAATCGAAACAATCAACTCAACAACGTTCGCAAAATAACATGTGCTATGGAGAAGGGTAATTGCCCGAAACGTCGTCTGTGATATTTTTTGTTTACCCTTTAAGGCCACGGTTGTTGTTGTTGTTGTTGTCCGGTAGTCATTCGGACGATGTGACTCGCCACGAGCGAATGCCTCGCAATCAGAAGGTTGCGAGTTGACATCCTGATTGCCGGTGGGGAGCAGGGGGGTATTGACTCGAACCATCATTTTCACCGGGGTCGATAAAATTTGTACCACTTTGTCACCGGTGGTTGTCCTACCGGTAGCCTCGCCCCAGTCGTGGTAATGTGAAATGTCCACCATTGACTCAGGGCTGTACATAGCAGCTGTGCACAGCCTCAATCCTCATTTTGGCAATAACTCACTTTAACATTTTAACGATGTAGCAATAGCGTTTTTACAATCGGTTCATAGGCACACGATACACGCATCGAATCGAGAGCATTAATAGATTATTGACATTTTATGCATTTTTATGCAACCTATTTGCGCATTGTAGGTACATTTAGGCTAATAAAGCGAATCGAACTGTAAAAACGAGACGGGAAGACTCAAAAATGTCGAATCGATCATTGCCTCGACTCGCAACAATCACACATTCCTCGAATCTTGACAATCACACGTTCATCGAATCGCGACAATCACACGTTCATTGTCCAGGGGCGCGGTAAGCCGTTGTTGTTACCGAGGGGCTGAGCACACCTTGGCCGGGTCACATCCCCCTCTAGTACTCGATTGGCTCGGCTAACGTGCGTTGGTGGTGACTGATGAGTATCGTTAGCGCACCGCTTCCAAACGGTTGGGGCTCATGTGGCCGCGGGTGGTGAGAGACGAAGTCGCGGACCGGCTGTGTGCCTCGCTCCTCCTAGCCCCCCACGCGCTCCCAACTCCCTCCCCCCACCGCCCACCCCGTCCTCCCACCACCCTCCCTCTACGCACCCCACCTCCATCCCCCTCATCCACCAGTACCTCCACACCCGCCCCCCAGCACCACCAACCACTCTCCATTAAGGGGCCGAGAGGGTGAGCGCCACGCATGAATCAGCGCCGTGTTCCGGGAATGAAGGGGCCGTGTTCCCGGGCATGCGAACATCTCTGGCGTGGAGCCGAGTCGCCTCTATCCCCCTCCCCATCATCCCCCCCCCCCTATCCAACCCCCCACCACCACTCCCACAGCCTTTGCTTTAATATCGCCGGCCACTAATGTGGAATATTAGATTAGGCTGATTAATCGCTCATTCATAATTAAGGGAGGCGAATGGGAGGCTTCGCGTTGTCCCATTGAGAGTTTTCTCAACAGACAGACGCTGCCTGGACCCACCCTTGCCGACGCTGCTGCTCCTGCTGCTGCTGCCTGTTATATTATTCGTGTGCGTAATGTATCCCTTCATTGGCTACGGATGTCTCAGTCACTACAAGAAGTCACTCGGTACTTGGTTGCATACGCTGGTTCGGGAACTCGCTTCGTTCAGGATTCCAACGGACTGTGGCATCGCAGTGGTATGGTGAGGGCATTCATCCAGCAGCAGATCGACCATGGCTGATGGTGTCAATAATGTAGCAGATGAGGATTGGAAGTGTTCGCCTCGCAATCGATGATTATGGGAGACCTTCATGGTGGATAGACCATGGCTGATCGTGTGAACATTACAGCGGGTGATGATGATGATGATTGGAAGTGTTCACCGAGCAATAAACTATTATGGGAGATCTTCATTCAGCAATGAATAGACCATTAATGATGTTGCTAACAAGACCTTACGATTGCGAGTTGAGTTCTTTTACCAGTACGCCGTCCAGACGCATATAATCACCGTCATTGATGAGTCTTTTTAATGTAATCGATATTCACATAAGTGGGGATGGATTTCGGATGTGCGGATGCCGGTTCACCACCCCCACTCCAGCGATCCGATTATTCGTTTTCGCCGTTAATAGTCGGAATTCGTCTCAGTTGTGTTGTGTATTTTTTTAAAAGCCTATAACACCTGTTATGCATGGTTGTCGATCAACCAAGCACTAAACCCCTTTACATGTTGAAACTAAATGGTCTTGCGTGATTTATTACAATATGTTGTTTTAAATGTACATTTTAAACATAGTTTTATATTGCAGCACGGACGGAATGTTCCTCGCAATAGTGGAACAACAATGGGTTCATGAAACCGTCTGCGCAGACACTTGCAAGTGCAAGGCCCTCGCACGCGTGGCGGAGTTTATCGCCGGAACTTCGGGAGACAAGTCCGTTTGCTAATTGAATTGAATTTCACATCGTTGCGTTTGCATTTGTTTATTTCCATGATCCTATTATAATTAGACTCTCAACGACTTGGTACGAGATCGTTTTTCACGGAAAACTATGCAGCTGTTGGAGAATGACCTGCACAAGCATGTTTGAAGTTGCTTCTGCAAAACAATGATTTTTTTACACCGTTAGTGCACTACTTTTAAATACCCCTCAAATAAAGTCCATCGCTTGCCAATCAAAGACACTTTTTTTATTTTCGGAGTTGGAATATTGCGCGTTCGGTGATAATCAAATTAAAATAAATTGAATGCAGTTACATTGAATGATATGAATATGATTGTCATTCAACTCGCTACACTTGATAACTTTATTTTTTAAATCCAGGGCAATTGAAAGCTGGATTCGAACCCAAGAACTCAAATGGGAGTGGCTGATTGTTTGTACCCCCCCCCCCCCCGTCACCTCTTTACATTCGTGATATTTTAAAGTTGTGCCTTTTCATTGACACAATACAATCATTGCCTCTGCACCACCGAGACACGCACAACCGTGCAGGCGAATTTATGTGCACGTGCAGGCACGAGGCAGCGGATGGACGAACAGACGCTGAGAGACACGGAACCATTGGGGGAGGCGGGGCCGTCATGGGGAGACGGGGGAACCCACAGCAAGACACGGAGAGGCAGCAATGGGGAGAAGAGAATACAACAATAAAACTATAGGCAGAAGAAGAGGCGATTAGGTGAGTTAGATAAGGGAGAGACAGTTGGAGGCGCGCGGAGACGCGAGCAAGACCAAACAAGATATTGGTCACACGCGTGGGGGGGGGGGGGGGAGACCAGGGCCGTGGGGAGCTGAGGTTAGGAATGGAAGGCGGCAAGCGGCGAGATAAGGTGGACACGGGGAAGGTGGACACGGGGAGACACGCGTTTGAGACGCGGTGTTGGAGTGTGGGACGAGAAGAGCGAGGGAGGTGGGGGGGTGGGTGCAGGAGTGGGGGGGTAGAGGGAGGTTGGAGAGGGAGGAGAGGGTGAATGATAAACTGCTAACGCAATTTTCGCGGCTCCGCTAACTCGGTTACGCGCTGGCTAACAGCGTTAGACAGCGAAACGGCCTCACTGTTATCCGCCACAAAACTGCTTTGGGGCGCAGGGGCCGCGCCCGACGCGAGAATCGCGTATTAAGACCTAACTCAATTCGGGAGCGTGTCAGGAAATCGCCTGATAATGACCCAAGGCGTTGAGATGGCTTAACAAGGTTACTCTAATAGAATTGTAGAGCGCAAAAAAAAAAAACCTCGATTGGGTTTTAAAGAAGAATTGAAAAATTGTGCAGGCGCGCGGTTTGTGGAAGTTTTGGGGCGGCGGTGGTAGACGTCAGGGCTCGATTTCAATCGGAGCTGTCCAGGGTTGAGCTCCTGAAGAAGATATTTTTTTCCCCAGCCCCCTGCTCTGTTGTTGATGGGGCTCCAACAAATATTTCACGGCAAATGCCATTCCCTGATAGCGACGGTGGATGTGTCGGCACTGTGATTATCATGATGCTTGTATAC